AAAATTTAATACAAAATTCCTCATAATTTGTTCCAGCAAAAACTTAAAAATACAAAATAAATGCGTTATTTTTATTTTACTATAATAAATTAAAGCTAATATTTTGAAAAAATTGAGATTAGGACTTTAGTTAATTTATTGTAATCCAAAAAAAGTTATTAATAAAGACTTAACGATAATTAGTACACTCAAAACTTATCTATTAGTAAAGTGAGTTTATTGTTTTATTGTTTTATTTTTTTTTTTATATAAATGATTAATTAAAAAATATTTACAATTTATCTGGGAAAATTTTGACGGGGTAAAATTATATTTGTATATTAAATTATTTGGTATATTTAATTTATTGCAATGGAAGTCACATTTTTTTTTTTTTTTGTATTAGATGAAACAATAATATAGGTACTATAAACAGTGTTAAATAATATATCGGATTAAAAAATGTTTCATACAATTTTAAATAGTTTTATTTTTATGGACTATATAATAGAGTATTAATAAGTACCATAACAAAAATTTCATTCATAACGATATTATATTTTTCCCTGTGATCGAGAAAGAATAAAATAGAACGTTGAAATTTTATAATCAATTATATATATTTACTAACTGTTGTTACATTTTACTGTAATAATGTTGAATTATTATAATGAAATTTGGTGATATATTTTGTACATTATTTATGTCTTTAAAAGTAGTGTTTTTTGTAAACATATGGTTTAATTGAAAATATATTTTTAACGTCAAACATTTAATTGAAACACGATAATACTTAATATTCAAATATATTATGTCTAAAGTAAATGTTGTATACTACATTTTATATTATATTGATGTTTTTGTTGGTTCTAAACTTCTTAATTCTAATTTTTACTAAAATATTGTATGCGAGAAAGAATGGCATATTAGTAAAAAAATAACATTAACCTAAATGAATCGTATTATATTATGGTTTATTTATATGAATACCTTAATATAAATATTTGAAAGTTGAAGTAAATCGATATTACATTATAATAATAATTAATATTGAATAATAAATTACTTTTAATAATTATTTTTATTTTCAACTTAACATCATCAGTATAAATGATATTTTAAGAACTCGGAATGTATTAATATATTTTTCTTGGGTTATGCTTTTGTCGTCAATTGTCGTATATCTAAGCGTTATGTCGTTATGTGTATATGTGAGAAGGAAGATCGATGTTTGTATTTTTTTTCTTTAATCAAGAAATCTATATAGTAACTGTAGGATGTAGGTATTATATTTTACAACGTATGAATGAAAAATCATTATTCTATGGATAAAAGCTATTTGGCATTCCATTATGGCGCTTAGGCAAGTTTCCTTAATAGTTCATGACAATCAGTCGCGTGCTATACATTTTATATTCAGACCACACAATAGACTAGAATGACTGGTAAAATACAGACTGGACATGCTATACGCTGTGAATCATTGATGAATGCAAAAAAAAATTCTATCGTTTTAAAATTGATTATTATATAGTAGCGTAAATATTGGGTACATCAACTATTAACTTAAACCTACAGTACAATAATGAAAACAAAATACGTTTATACAACTTTAAAAATAGATTTATTGTATTGTTTTATCGTTGTATTTAAATAATTTATAATAGATGGAACATAATTTTTTTATATGATGATTTTATCAAAGAATATAGGTTTTTGATCCTATTTTTTAAAGTGTAAATTTGACTTTGACATTTAGATGAAATTTAGTTCCTATGAAATATTTTAGTTAGTCATTTAAAGTAGAGTTCTAGATTTTTAGAACTGGAAACATAGTAAAAAACACAATAAATACAAATAATTTTAAAACAAATGAATATTTAATTTATTTTGAGGTATGGTAAGTTAGAATAAGGTATTTTGTTTTTATTAATGTTTAATAATTATTTTATTTTTGACAATTTATCCACGAATAACTTAGATTAAGGTCCGTGATAAATAAAATATGCTTATTTAAACTCGAATTTGAATGTTTTACCTTTACTTTAAAGCGTACATATGTGTATTACTCTAATGTGCTTTACCTTATCCTAACCTAACGATTGTCATTGCTTGCAAAAGGCTCACAAGATTAGTAATATAAATGTTTGATAATTTTAAATCATTAACCTACAATTTTTTTATTTCTCATTTTTATTAAATACAATGTATTGTGTTATATTATTATGGTAAAATAATTAATATTTATTGACATATTAGGCTTCTGATAAACCTTTGTTATTATAATTTATACGAATTATGTATAATTGTAAAAATATCGAAGGAACTGATTCGAAAGTTCTTTGTTAAAATTCTTCGACTTGAATTATAAAGTGCTTAAATTGAATTAAGTTGTAAAATTTAAAATCGAATCTTCATTAATTTGACCACTATAATATGATGTTTTGTAATTAAATGTATATTTTATAAATATTTTTTTATAATTTTAATTTGTATGCTAACCTATAGTTAGTTTATTATTTAATACTTGTACAAATAATTATATTTATCTGAAATTTTAAATTAGAGCAATATAATTAAATATAAAATTAATTATCGTAGAAAGTTTTAGTCCCAATTCGGGAAACGAATTTCATATTACATTGAATAATTGAGTAAATAAATTCAAATACTCGATAAACTACGGATACCAATTTAGAATTTATTATGAGCTGACTGATTTATTATTATCACTATTATTGTTATTATTATTATTATCATCACTGATATTATATTTAAACAATTAAACCTACTGTAAAATATAACTCTATTAATACTAAAAATATTATGTACGTTTTATTTTATTTTATAATGTATTATTTAAGCACGTATTATTAATAACACTAATATTTTATGGCCTATTTGTTGAAGTTAAATTTTCGTTATCAATACAATTTAAAAATACATAGTGTTTATACATTTTAATACTCATTATTTCTATTTTTTTTTTTTTGTAGTCTTAACGTACACTTAACTACCAAAGCCTAAATAGTAAATACAATACATATCAACACTTGTTATATTTTGATTATACAATTTTGGTTTTTGATTAGCCGTAAAATTTGCCTTTAAAGCTATAATGGCGTGAACCTTGTCGTTTACATTGTAACCGTAAGCACTCAAGTACCTACTTTATAAACAGCTTCTGGTCTGGTGTACGCGGGCACGAAGCTGAGGGATATATTGGCTATTATGACTGCCTCGTCTATTTCACTGTCGTTCAACCAAGTACTACCTATACCATATTTCTTATATAATTGGTCTCATGGAAATATTACTCGTGAATCAATTTTTTTCTTCGGAACTACATATAATTGTGTGGTAACACTACTAACACTTTATATTGGTTGACTATTCAAGCTATCATTAGATCAAAAATGTGTATTTGTTTTTCAAACAATGGCTCCCACAAATAATTAAGTGCATTAAATACCAAGCTAACATTTTCGATACCTATTAATACGGAATTGATTAACGAGTGATTGCCCTATAAAGATTTTTTGGCATACATAAAAACGTAATTTTCTGGCATTACTTGAAAAAATCACAATTATAACATATAATAATGTAATTCATAATAATATACCAATTTTATTACTAAATTGCTAAATACTCGTGTATTTTACAATAAAAATATCCTGTTATGAAAAATAAATATTAATTATTATTAGAAAGCATTGAAGTGCCATTAGATATTGAATATACGATTGTGTATATACTATTATATACTTATAAAATAAACTTTTTTTAATGGTGTTTTATTCATTGACACTTGATTTTACATCTATATTATTTAAATGTTTGAGTATATTAGTATAAAGATAATAGTAACAATAATAATAAAAAAAGGTCTTTGTTATTGCTTACTTATTTCTATATATCTTTGTTTTTCGTAATTTAAATGGTTATTATTAATTTTTAATAATATCTATATTCTATGTTCTTAATATTTTATGAACAAATAATGTAAAACATTTTATAGAAGTAGATAGGATCAAAAACTTCTTAGGTAATATGAAATATAAATATTGAAACCAACCAGCGTGTTTTTATTACAACTAATTTTAAATTATCCAATTTTTTTTTTTACATTTTGAGTGGAGCTTTTAATGTGTTAATTTAACAACGATATATGTTTTTTTAAATTTTTTTTTTATTGTTGTGTCAAATTTGGCATTTTTCGTAGAAGTAAAAATAGTCTATCTTAAGCAGTTAGCCGTAATTTCTGATAGGGTCTTATACTTTTTGTATAATAATCAAGTAGTTATATCATTATATTTGTTATAATAATATAAACATTATAAACAATTTATTTTTGACAAAAATTAGTTTAACCATAACTACCTATATTAGTTATAAAAAATAAATTTCTCATAGCAATATAAGTATACATTCAAATGTCCTTAGAAATATAGACTATTTAGGCCAAATTTAGAAAAAAATGTATGAAAGTAAAGTGCTGAATTTTTTAGAAGTTATGTTAAAAATGATTTTTTTTTAGTTAATTTTTCATTTAATGTAATATTGTCATTTTTCAAAGGCTTTTAATTTGTTTATTTTGTTATTGCAGTGTTTACACTTGACATTTAATTGCTTAAAATGGTGTATAAACTGTGTTTTGACGATAAATTAATTTGTGTTGATTATAATTACCAAAATATTCTTAACGTAAACCAATAACTCATCAGTGTATAGGTATAAGATTAAAAAAGTTGCCAATTCTATGATCGTAAGCGTTAAGTTACCAGTTTGACGTCTATATCTCTATTGATGATCTCAAACCACTTGCAGGTTATTACAGTCTTACAAACTGGTCATGAATACTGTTTTTTGATACGTAATAATAGTCGGTTAACGTATGTGACTAGAACACAAGATAGCCCAACAGTGCGCGTTATCTTGTAGGTGGCATTGCCCTAGTATGGACAAACTGTTATTATTTTATTTCCAAGTACTATTATTGCTGTACCGCGGTATTTATGATGAATCCCATCAGAGACAACGTAAATAATAGATATCTGACCATAAACAGGAGAAACATATTACTTTATTACTAACTATACTTAACAGATAAAAACATGTTTTATTAAAAAAAAATTACAGCTTTAAAAGTGCACTTAAACATTTATACCTACTTAATACAATAGATTATTACCAATGTATATAAGTATTACTATAATGTTTAAAAGTAACATTTTAAAAATATTCTTTTGCTAGGATTTTTTTTAAATTGTAAGATATGATTTTTCAGACGAAACATTCATAATTCAACTATATGCGTGTAGTTGTTAAAATTAAAACATTTCAGCATTTCAACATTTAGTTGAATATACGTCACTGAATATTTCCCTTATATAATAAACAATATTTTATTTATAGTTATATAATTATTTTTGATTATGACTAATAAACTAAATACAGTAGAAGCACAGAACAATATAGAAACGATACAATCAGCTGGGCGGTCTACTGTATCCCTTCAGTATGAAGTATTGGATTTTAAAAGTTAAAACCGTACCCGTAATCTGACTAGATGTTGGTAATGTGTATCCCTAATTGTTGCGATATTATAAAAACGGAAACAATAATCCATTGCCCGAATGATTTTCACGGGTCTTATGTAAAAAAACATTGTTAAAAACGAGCAAATTTAAAATTGCAATAGTTGCATTTTTTTATTATTATTCAGTGTATTTTTAACGGTTTCAACTAATTTTTAATAATATATTGTTCTGTGATAATATTGATATTATTTATTTAAATGATAATGTATGCCACACACCCCCCTGGAGACCGTGTTCAAGGCCAATGTCGCCCGGTTTGGTCAATATCGGACAATGTCTATACCCGGGTAGAAGCATTTAGGTATTGTAACTTGCACTGGACATAATTTTGAGTGTGGCTATTGATAATAATATCATGTCCATCGGTGTATTATTAAACAGAGTGCAATACGAGGACAATGTACATAATTTTAAATACATGTAGATTTCTGATATCCGAAATATTGATTGTATATATTCTGTGTATAGTATTTACCATTAGTTTTAAATCAACATTTTTTTTTTAAATTTTGTTAAAATCATAAATTGTCTTAATACATATAATGATGTGTTAAGTAAAAAAGTTTTTGTAATATTAATTTTTTGATATTGTGTAGGTATTAACACTGATTCAAAATGTTCAAGTAAATAGCTCTAATAGACATTTTATAATAGTTTACATTGTATGCTTAGAAGAAGTTATTTTTTTATTTATCAGTTTATTCTTAACAAATGAAAATATGACAACAAAAACCATGTTGTTATACTATTAATCTACAACGATTTTAATTGAGAATATATCGTTGAATGTGAATTTTTATTATTGATTTTGAGTTTTGAGTAGGTTAAATTTTTAAATTTGTGTTAATTTATTTTTAAAATTTACTTTTAAATGTTTTAAGTTCCCACAAGTACACACTATAACTTAGTAGCAACAATATTATACAATTTATTTTTAGATTTTGTATAAAATTTATCATTTTATGAATTAATATTAAACATTACTTCAACAATCTTCATATATTGTTGATAGTGAAATTACCTTAACTAAATAATAGTTGAACCGAAAATTGTTATTGCCCTAAAATAAAGATAAAAATATTTACAACACAAAAAAAATTATGGTTTTTCACGTTATAAAAGCAAAAGCGTCTGAAATGTGTATGTGTATATCTGCACATGCGTATGTGTATGTGTGCGTGCGTGAACTTGTGTATACTCAGTACTGCTGTGTACAGCGAGAACGTACTGTGTTACACAAAATCGAAACTGTAAGATGTGGCGCCAGCGATCGTCTGAAAGGGATGTTTTATGAATGAAGTTTTTGGTATGTCGCCCACGTGGAATGTGAATATCCCTTCACAGCGTGTGTAAGTATTCGGGCCGAGGTTTATATTTCAGAGGGGATGGTATTGCGGGGACGAAGGGGTAGCTATTGACGTGGCGCCAACGAATCCCCGACAAAGGATTAATAGCCATTGGGTTCCGAAGAATACTTTCCGATATAAAACGAAGTCCTATATAAATCATAATACAATGGCATACTTGAATGAATCATTGAAATGAAGATTAAATTAATTTTCTCGTATGTTAAAATGTTTTATTTTTATTTATTGGAACTATATTGGCTATAATTAATTTTATAAATAAAATCATTAAAAAATATGTTAACATTGTTACTTTTACAGTATTTTTCCTAACATAATAACTATAATAAATTATTATATATCATATAAGTATAAAATTCAAACAATAATGGATAAAGTTAAATATATTTGTCTAAGTATGTGTATAAGTAATAGTCTGTTATATATATTTTATACTTAATAATTATTATACCATAGTATATATTGTACAACAACTAGCCATTTTACTAAAATTAAGTTTATTATTTTATCGATGATCTATTTAAATTGTTTTATTATTAAAAATTAAAATATGAATTAAACATTATTCGTAGTCTTTTAAACGTGCAGGTATAAAATATAATGCACATTTTATATTAATTGGGTTTAGTGATAAAAATGTATTTATTTTGAAGAATAACCTTGTATTTTAAAATAAGCAATTGATAAATTTATCAATCAATATATTGATAAAAATACTTCGTTTCTCTTAAGTATATTATAATATCAGGTCTATATTGGTTTGTCATTTTTAAATTAAAATTTTATTTTAATCAATAAATAAGCATGTAATGTGTGTATAATAATTATGGAACTTATTCTAAGCTTTTTTAATATTCTAATTAAAAAAAATATATTTTTAGAAAAAATTAATAGATCGATTGATAAATTCTTTAATTTAAACCTCCGTTAATAGTTGTTCTCCAGTTTCATTATCTATTTATTCAATGTAATAAATTATTTGTACTGGCTTGTATAAGTAATTAATTTTATATTATATTATTTAATAAGGATTATTATTCTATTTTATATTATTTAATATCAATTTTATTATAGTTTTACACATTTTTTAGAATACAATTTTGTTAACATTTTTTTTTTATATATATTCGTATATACTTATTTTGATAAATTATTATATAAGTATTGCAGTATGTTAAATTTAAATAATAATACTTTACGTTGGATTAAAAAAGACTCACAAACAAATGGTGCTGCACTGGTATACTATAAATATTTTAAAATGATTTACGCAAATATTACTAATACGTTTTAATTATTTTTTTATGAACTTATAATAGAACTTAACAAAAGAATCTGATGATTATCTTCAGAAATCTAATTCATCTAAAAATTTTTATGTAAGTACTATACATATATTTTATATTAAACACTCACGCAATAATAATCATATTTTTTATATCGTGATAATGATAAACATTTAAATATGTCATGTTTAATAAATTATTTAATAAACCTAGAGGTTTAAAGACAAATACAACAGAAACAATTTAATAAAAAATGATGGTGAGAATGATGATTTAACATCATTGTATTCGTCAAATCAACAAAATAATCTAACATCTTACCTTATTGAAGTCATATTCGTTGTAATTACAATAAGAGATAATGTTAATTTGTGTTTGCTATATTTTTTTAGAAAAGTGGAAAGTCAGATATGGGTGCACAAGTAAGAAGGTGGCATATAACAGATACAAATAATTTAAAACATTTTAACATGCATTCCACGTGTACTTTAAATATATTTAATAAAAATTATTCAAATGCATTTATGATGAATCCTAAAAATGATATATCAAAAAGTGTAACTCAGAGCCAGTCTTTTATTTCTGAACCTATGATTCCAAATGGTCAATCAACTGTATGTCCAGCATTAATTACATTATTTTTAACTATATTATAGAAATATGTTAACTGTTTTGAATTTATTTTTCTTATAGCTTGGAAAAAATGTTAGTGTTACGGAATCATGGAGAGAAATCAATCATGTTGATAAAATTAAACTTACTGCTTTATTTTTTCAAGTGGTGGGTACCCATAATGTAATAAGTAAGATAAGTGTAATAGATAATAAACAATGTAAAAGTACCTATTCACTTGTGTGTATGTAATATGAATATATCAACTGTGAAGATATAATACATTTATTTGTAAACAGTTTTAACATTTTTAGTTATTTAAAAAGGTAGTTTGTATTTTATAGGTAGAATTTTAAATTAAAAAATTAAAATTTTATAAAAGATATAAATATTGAACACAAAATTTTTATTATAAAATATTTCGTGAATTTTTATTATTTTAAAAATAGAACTTATTCGTAAGTATGTAAATTGACACAAAATAGTCAATTTAGATTCTAATTCTCATACTAAAAATCATATTCAAAGTTAAAAATTAAAGTATTTTTACTTTTTTTAAAGGTGATATAACCCACCAAATTAAAAAAAAACACATCATTGAAAACCAAAATTTAAAATTTGCATTATTTATTTTAAAAACTCACTGAATGTCATAGCTCATAAGCAATGTAATATTTTAGTTTGTACAGTTTCTAAATTGTATTTTTGCTCTTACTTTATATTATTATATTGTTATCAGTAGACATTAATGAGGAAATTATTCATCAACATTAAATGTGTAGAATAAATATTTCTATGTATACTTGACTTCTATAACAAAATATTCTTAAAAATTGTGGTTTAATAATTATTTATTTTTATGTATTAGAATTTATTGACCAATAAGATAATGCCGTTTGTTAATTTATATGCATTGGCCAATCCTTTTCTGCAAATTCCAATTCAGGTACAGATATATTTATAATTATATTTAACATGATATAATAATTTAATATAGATATTATAGGTATATTATTGTATCTATATAATTTGAGTAAAAATTGTTTATAAAATATAAAATATTATAATATGATATCCTATTGAATGGTTTTGAAAAATTGAAATGTAGTGATAGATAAAGTTGAAATAAAAAACATTAAATTTTTCATTTCAGGTACTATATTATTATTTATTCATTATAATATTAACCATTAATCATAAGCAATTATTAATTTACTGGTAGACTATTTTATATTATAATCTGAAGGACATCTGGCATTGTTTCATTTATCGTTATTGTAAAATTTGAGATGCAAATGTATATCTTTATTACTTATTACACTTTTTAATTTTCATTAGTTTATCGATGAGTAATTTAAAATTCTGATTTTTTTATTAGGAGTTATTTATAATTTGTAAATATGTGATTGTTATCCTTTTGTCTTAGCATTTATACTAAATTTACTTTATTTATTCAGGTTTGTCGTATGGCAAATAATATTAATTTGAACATGGCTGAAGTGTTATGTAGAAAAAGAACTGAAGTTGCTATAATTTCCTGGATGACAATTATACTAAATCAGTAAAATATTAGAATTCAAAAAAAAAAAAAATGAATACATTTTTAAAATTCAAATAGTAGTTAATTTTAAAATCATATAACAATAAAACATTAAATATAATTTTAATATTTTTTTATTTATGAAATTTGTTTTCTATTTTAAGTTGAATCAAAAAAACAAAATGATAAAACATAATGATTTTGTCAAGAATTTTTTTAATGTTTTTTTTTTTTTTCATAAACTCATACTTTTATTCTGAATTTTTTTTCTTGGTTATTTTAAAAATCACTAGAAAATTTATCTTTTCAAAGTATCAAATAAGTCCAATTTTTAACTAGAAATCACCCACAAAATTAAAAATTAAGTATTTTTACTGCTTCAAATAATGGTGATACATTATCTTTCCCCTCCCCCACATAAATTAACAAATTAAAAAACCATTATATTATTATAAAATGAAAACGCTCTGCTTAGAGTATAAAAATTTGATATTTTTAGTTAAATATTTAAAAGGATAAAGTTACGATAAATGATTAAATTACAATTGGCATTTTGGTTTAATTTCAGATTTAAAGGGAATATTACTTAGCAAACTGAAGTAACTTTATAATTGTTCTATAAAAATATTTATATGTTAGTGTTAATTAAATTACTAAGCCATAGAAAAGATTTTATAGTTTGAAAATTATCCAACAATGATTTTATTGTTATTAATTTTCTTATTTCATAATATAGAGTGTGAAAGTTATAGATAATATTCTAACGTCGTGTTGTTTCATCATACATATAATTGTTTAATTAAATTAAATATCAAACAATTATAAATATTATATAATATTTCTAATATCTTATAGTATATAGTTGGTAAATATGTTCAATATGTTAAGAGTCTACAATGATAATTCAATCGTTTTTTCGTTATATGATGTGTACCTTTTTAATTTGTGATAAATTAATCCTCCGTTATAAAATACGTACCTATCACTATGATAATTTAAAAATTTGGTGCAATTAACAAACATTGTAGTAATCAAAATTTTTATTTAATTTGGACTTGATGGTTGTTGGATGTGTGCTAGAGAAGTAGATTTTGACAGAAGGAGTAACATTTTAGGTATATAATTTGCAGTAATGTAGGATATTTATTTTGGCAGGCTAGACTGTATTAAATAGTTAATGTAAACTTATATATATTAATATAGTTTTATCTGTATCATTATTAGGATTGCAGGTAGAAATTATATATTGTAAACTACTTTTATCCTGATTAAATTTTATTATATAGTTTTTTGTTTCACATTGCTAAAATTAAAAAATTTTTAGTTTACAATAAAAAAAGCTCTGGTAGACAAAAAGGAACCGTTCTATTGTATAATATGTGCTAAATGGGTCACTCTGATAAATGTGTTAAATTTGAATTCAATGATGTATCGTTATATATTAACCTAACCTAACGTATGACATCACTAAGTACATTTCATGTTATATTTTTTTTGATATTGCTTTTAAAGAAATTTATTTTACAATTTATAAATGGTTAGTCGAATTAATTTTTTGGACGAAAATATTACTTTTGAAAATGTCACTGTACGTAAAAAATATAATTATGTTCGTAAAAGTTTTATGTCTCTGTGAATGATGTTTTTGAACTAAAACAAACAACAAATATCGTTTTTATAGTCTAATTCGCAATTTGTGAATTACCGACAAAGTATCGCCAGTAAAATATGACGTGACTAAAATATCGCAACTGAGATATCGCGAAACCAATACATCACATAGAATAAATATCGCTAGCACATATATCGCCAGTATGAAATATAGCAGAATTTAGTTAGAAATATAAATAATATTGATTATTGATTGATATTTTATAATAGCTATAAATAATTTTTTATAATTCAAATTTCAAAGCATTTAATATTGTTAAATGAATATATCATAGAAAAATCGGTAAAAATATGTATAATTTAATAAAATTGATATAAATATTAAAAAAATTTAATGGAAGTATATATTAAATAAAATACCTTAAAGATAATCTTCAAACTCTCGATTATGATAATCTACTACTATTTTCTCTACTCGTTCAGCCCAATTGACTGTCTTTTTAATTTTAATTATTGGTGTATTTGGATTTAACAGATGCGTTAATAATTTATGGCGGTATTATTTCTTTACGATATTTTGTCGGAGTACCCAATTTTGTCAGCATTTAAACTTATTAAATGCTTATAAAAATCAATTTTTCCAATATGTTTTAAATATTTTTATAAAGTTATAGAAAAACGTACACAGAATGTAGTTTTAAATTTTCAAGTTTTTTGACTGAGCTAAAATATTTTTATTGACACTAAAAGTAATAAAACTAAATAAAATCTTAAATATCTAAAATATCTATAAATAATTTTAAAAAATCGAAATATTTTGAAAATGTTATTATGTACTTGTATAGAAAATAATCACATAAGAATGTGATAAAAATTAATCATAATATATTCTATAACACCAAAATCTATTTTTCAAAAACTGGATTTGCATAAAAGTTCCTATTTTTTCTTAATTCTTTATTTGTTTTTTGTTGTTATTTTAAAGAACATTGGGAATTTTTAATTTTGACCTCTTTTAAGTACAAATTAAATCTTATTTTTTATCCAAAATAAATCTTAAAATTGAAAATTTAACGATTTTTTTAACTACTTATCGTGTATATAGACACAAAAAACAAAAATCACACATCATTGTAAAATCAATACATTCATCACTTTGCATAAAAACTAAAAAAATGGTCTTAACATGAATGTTTAGAAATTTAAAATCCTTTAAAATTAAAAAACTGCTAGGATCTAACGATTTTCAATTTATTCTGACCGGTCGTTACTATATACCTAAACATGTAGAAATGTAAACAGATTTTTTTTGAACTAGTGAATTAGTTAAATAATAACCAAATTAGTAACAACTATAATTTAACATAGTATTTTATATAAATATAATGTAGGTTGATATTTTGATGATTTGTAATAAACGTGATGAAACATGATTCGTTAAACATTGAATAAATAAACAACTTCATTCATAACAGTTGGACATAAATTTTAAATACTTTTATACAATAATATTATGTATATTAAATACATATTCAGTATTTTTCAAGCATAGATTATATTAATACTTTTATTTAGCTATTTACGTTTTACATTATTTGAAATAATTTAAATAAAATTGTTAACAGTTTATCCATCGTGGTTTTTGAATTTTTCTAATAATCTTATGACCGTAATATAGGTTTTAATTTTTCAATTTACATTTCGGATTTCGGTAGGAGGCCACTAATATTCGTCGTCTTATCATATAATTATCTGAATACAAATATACTTGTACACTTCTAAATATCCACTAATTTGTCTACTAATTTATAATAAATGTCCAAAAAGCAACCAATCGCATTAATTCCACGACAACCACAAACAGATAACACTGTTGTGTGAAAGCACATAAAAATGTCGTCTCGGGACAAGGTTTTTCAATTAACCCGCAATAAACACCTCTCTCCGGTCTACATCGGACCCCATAATATACAAAACGAGTCAATAATTCTGTCCGGTGCTGAATATTTCGCCCGTTGGAATGTCCGACGTTCTGTAGAACACGTATCCTGTTTTCCTTTAAATAATAATATACATATCGTACAATAGTAAGACCAACTTGTAATAAAGACTAATGTATTAAAAACGATACAAAATAGTTCAATCGAAATATATATATATTGATTTTTTTTTTTTTATAGTTTATTAGGTACCTACATAAAACTAACTATATGTATTGAGTATAGGTACTTATTTTATTATTTTTTACAGAAGTATAATTCCTGTAATTTAAAGATAGGTATAGGTACTGTTTTCTTATTAATAATACCTCATACTGTAGATCATATTTTATTGGATAATACATATCGTATAAATTAATTATGTAAAATAAGCACAAGATCATATTACTGCTGCAATCAGCATTATACAAGTTAGGTATGCGTTTATTAAAAATTAAAAAAAAAAACTGATAATTAAACAAATTATTTGAAGTTTTACTAAAAATTAGTAGAAATTATTGAAAGGTAAATAATTCATCAAGTTTGTATAGGTACCTATTTAAAAAGAGAACTCTAATAATACTGTTAGTAAAGTATGTTCATTAAATAATTAAACAGGTAATTTTTATATTATAGTGCATTGATTTTTTTATAATACATATAGTTTTATAGTTTATTAGATTTAAACTATTAAGAGTAGTAATAAAAATAAATTATTTTGAATTTAAATAAACATAATTTGTTCTTTTTATTTTATTGAAATAAAAATGGTGTACGCTAAATGTTAAACAAAAATTCATAATTATTATTTTAATTTGAAAGATATTATTATCTTTTTATAGATAACCAAACTCATTTAATTCGTAAAATTAAGTTAAACAATATTTATTTTTAGTTCAGTAAAAATCCAAAAATACTGTTTGAATCATTATGAAATTAAAAATAACTAAATAAAACACAATTGGTATATAATATCACCCGACGGTTTACAGGTAAGTTACGTTTGTCACGCATGTCTTATATTAGTATTCTATGGCATTAGTTAGTTTTCGTGTTTAAAACAATAGAACAAAATAGTTTTATCTCGATGTCCACATAGTTTCTTTTGTGACTTAAGACTTCTAAAAAAATCGTTCATCGAAAACAAAACTGTAATGTTTTTTTGTGCTATTCGTGGGACGAGGTAAACCAGTGCTAATTAAAAACCGGACAAAATAAGATTTTTAGTAGTTCATTTTTTCACAAAAGATTTTTTCATTACCATTCTACGAATTATAAACGTCGGCAAATGACGAGCAAAAATAACATCAAACATGGGAGAAAGAAAATTAAATTTAAAAAAAACTTACTGACAAAATCAATACGAGATTGTCTGATCTTGTTTCCATAGAGTATGGCATCTTAAAAATAAATTTCATCAGTCGATCATAAAACCAGTATTTAGTTCATTTTTAATAAAGTTATTTAAATAGTAATCAGTTATTGATAAAATATCTTCAGTGATTATGTAAATGGATTAAGAGCAAGGCATATTGTGTTGTCTATTTTGTGTAAGTTTCAGGCGTAGGTTTCATAATTTAAAATTAAGTTATTATTTCTATTCCAATAACGTATCAATATATTTTATTAATATAACTAGTAATAAACCCTTTTAGACAAGAAGAAATTGTTTCATTTTAAATTATGTATAATATGCATATCATTAAATTATAAAAATATATAAATATCATAATTTATGATGTCATTTATTGATTTGACGATTTTAATAAAAATAAATTAATAATATTGAAAACATTTTGTCAATTAATTTTAGCTCAGTTCAATTTTAGGTATTACTTCAAAACTTTTTAAAAAATATGGGCAAATGAGGAACTCCTCTGCTTAGTTATATACATAGAGTGTTGAATGGGTTACTGTAATGAATGTGTTACATTTAAATTCAATGATATATCATAGTATATACATATATATATATAATACTATTCAAATCGTAGATAGTATTGATATACAGCACTGACGCCTATTATTTCATTGCATATTTGTATTTCATAGTTATTTAAGTCATTTATTTTACTAATAGTAGGTGATGATTTAATTTTTTTTCAAAAATATTGCAGTTATTATATTATTAATATATATTTATACCATGTTTAATTATATTATTGTGATTAACTTTTAAGTTAATATTACTTTACCGTAATACAGTGTGAATAGGTATATAGTATTAATAAATAATATCTTTAAATAAATTTAAGTATTTAGAAAATATAATTGTATGATTAAATTTATTATATACATAAAATTGTTATTTGCTCATGAATTATAACAAAATAATTAACCTTGTTATTCATTGTTAAAATTGGTAATATTGCCATAGTTTAAACTACATATGTGTATAAAAAAGTAATTGTGTTTATATATTTTTTAGATATCAAGTTCCACTAAGAACTATACAAGAGGAACATTGTAGTGAATTTTCAAGCTCTAGTTGTAGGATTTGAAAATTTTATAAATTTTTACTACAAAGTATTGATGGTTAGTAAAATTTTGTGATTTTGTGTTTTCGACAAATTTTATAAAAATTCGAACTTAAATATATATAAAGATAAAGATGACTATGTATTTTCAATATTTTTACATAAATTTAAGAACAGCTAATACTTATTAAATTTTCAAAAATCAAGACTTAGCAAATAATATAACTGTTTTAAATTTAAAATGTTTATAAATAGCTAAAAAAAGAATCAAAATATTTAGAAAATTATATTACGTGTATAAAATTTAAACATAAATCAACAGTTTTTTTTTTTCGATTACAATTAAAATAAAAATTGTTCAAAGAAAAATAATAATACTTATTATATTGGTGAATATTTAATGTCGTAAGAATTTGAAATTAAATAATTATATAAAAATGAACGTTTTTTGTTATAAGTGTAAAAGCTAATAAGGAATTTTGATTCAATTTTAAAATCTTTGATATGAAAGAAAAATTTTTATGTATTTATAACTACAAAATATTTTGAACATTTTCGAGATTTTACAAATGTTGTCAAAATTCTGAATTTGAATTCTTATAAATAAAATGTAGTTATTAAAAATTTTTAATATTTTTTTATTGCTAAATGAACAATCTATGACGTTAAGCTCCTATTCAATTTTCAAGCATTTTTACTTTGCGATAAATTTTTTTTAGCTGCATTTATTAAAAAAAACCAATAAAAATTTTTTAATTACAAATGTCTAAAATAGCTCAAAAAGAATAATACTATTTTAAACTTGTTTATTTAAACATTTTATGAAAATTTCAGGTATCTATTTAAGGTTATTTATGTTTTAGTTGCACTCAAATAAAACAATCGATTTAGTCAACAACTGATTTTGCGTAGAAATTTCCGTTTTTCCCGATTATTAAAAAAAAAAAAAAATGCTACAATTTCCACTTGTCTAAAGTACAAACTAGATTGAATTTACTATCCATAACCACCCTTAAAATTTAAATTCAACCATTTTTTTGATTATTTATTATTGTTTACAAATATATCACTACATATCATTGTAAAATCATATTTATTGCTCTGCTTATAAAATCTAAAATTCCATAGTTTAAATTTAGAAATTATTTTAGTTAATTAATTAAATAAGTGATTAATTTATTGAATATTTTTAAGAATTAAAAATATTAAATTTAAAACTCGTTGACTTAAAAAAAATTCTACATATTATATACATACGTTTTATGATAAAACGGCATATTCTACTTTAAATATGTTATATTTTATTAAATAACTAAATATAATAAGTATTTATCTATTATTTTTAAGTCCCCAATGTAGATATAGCTCTGTATGTTATATAGGTATAAATATATTACATTTCACATGATATTTATTTTTATAACTATAAAAGAAAATGTGTTGTAATTAAATTATGTTTAGTATTTGCAGTTTTGTAAGATGTAAATTACGAATTGACCGTTGATTACTTAAATCCAATTAATTATTTATAAAATAAATAAAATTTATTATAATATGAAATTTAAATAATATAAAATGTCTTATAAATTTAGATTTTGTTTTGTGAAATTTTTAACTAGTTAAAATTCCATATAATATCAAAAGTATAGTAAGTATAATTATTGTGATTTACTAGTTTAATCTATTTATTATAGCATATATATATATATATATAAGTATATAACAGTATAAATAAAGCTAAATTTTACATAAGAAAAAAACGTTGATAATCTCAAGAAAATGATTAATAAGTATATTATAATGTTTCAATAATACAATACGCAAGTACTCATGGTTTTAAAATTGTCTTTTATACATATATATATATAAGGTATACATGTGTACATTATGCAACACGTTTATCATCGTATAATATTGCGGGTGCTCATTAGTTGGCGGTATTTTAGGTTCATAAATATTTAAGATAATTCGGTATGTTTATACATACGTCGTTGATGCTATGTTCCGAACAGGTTTATAATTATTACGCTACACAACGTAATTCTAGGTCCGCTAGTATAGTGATGGCAGTCAGTGGAAGAGGAAAAAAAATTAAGACAAGCATTGTGTTAAAATACACACACTCGCTTATAATGACCAGAGTTTAGCAGCTCTGATGGAAACCGCAACCATTTAAATGGTAATACGGTAGTCAAGATACGTTTATACGTGAAAAAGATTCTAATTACAGATTCGACAGCAGGCATCGATCGTAGATTTGCTGAAGGTGAAAAAAATACAAAAAACTGGTCGCCATATAATAATTTATGAAACTCGTGTTTCTGTTGCCTAATAAGTGGTATTATATAGTGTTTTTCAATCTTATTAGTAGAAGTAAAAATTGGAAAAAATGTGCATACGTTTAATGTAGGTATAGGTACATATACATATATAGTTTTAATTAACACAACAACGTGTTTATCTATTTTATATTTTATACAGTAATTGTTGTCAAATCACGTAAATATATGTCGATTGACTTGATCATAATACAATAATACGTTCCTATAACGTAATTCAGGAGAGTCATATTTTGGAAATTTTCCAAATAAATATTTTTATGATCGATATGGTTGGGAAAATGAGAAGAAAAAAATTGTATGGAATGAAATTTTTCAAATGGTTCGCCAAAGAATGTGGATATTCCACATACACACACATACACAAACAAGATGGTAGCGCGATGACCTCTGGTATTTTACGAGAGGAGTCGCGCGCATATAATACACACTACGCGGGACAGGTGTTCCATAAGCTGCCACCACTTAGCAGTCCTTGAATCTGAGCCAAGTCGAGTTATCAATACGTTATCGAGGAAGTAGTAAGTACCCATTAAGTCGGGGGCCAATTTATAGACATTTCATCCCTCGCTGTTTAATTCTTCGAGAATATTTTTTAATTCTTTTTATATTAATTGTCCAAGTTAAAAAAAAAAGAATGAACATATTATTACATTGATGTAAGTAGTAACAAACCCAAAAATAAGTTACACTTAAGTTTAAAAATAATAACCTAATAGATATGTATTATATTCGTACTTATATGTACGTAAAAACTATTAATTAATAATATAATAAAAATAATATGATTAATTAAAATAAATTAGTTTGAATAATATGTAGGTATAATGTATAAACATACAATTTATTAAAAAATAATATCTCGTTCGGGTATTCGAGCTATACTTAATATCTTCATTTATGACTAATTATATATTGTAAAGTAGGTAGGTATAATAGTTTGATTAGCGTAATAGGTAGCTACCACATCAAAGTATTTTATACTTAATAGCTATATACATTATATTATGATGTAGGTATAATATTATATTATATTTTTTATTTAACACTCAAACTTACTTAATTTTTTGAGTTTAAAATATTTAAAAAAAAAAAAACATTAAGAATCTTATAATTAATACTATATTTGAAAACATTTATTTATTGTTTTAAATTTTTATTTTTATCACAACGCATTTTATATTTAATTGTCATAATGTAACAACAATTTACTTTGTATCACACAAAGTAAAATTAAAAAATAATACGACCATTAAAATAACACACAATGTATGTCATTACACTATGTACTAAATATGCTTTTATATATTCAACATATGCTGTTCTTTTAGTATTATATAGCTTTTAATAATAGGAGTATTACATTGAATTAAATGAGCAAAAAAATAATAGGTGTGCGTCTATATGTATTTATATTAGCTGAACTGTTAGGCTTACGATATAAATAACTAACCATTAATAAAGTTCAATCACTTCATTTTCATTTGGCCTAAATAATTGTTATTATTATTATTATTATTACTCTTATTAGCGAATTGCCACGATAGTTGATGTGTTTGAAAATAGAAATATTTAAAAATGCTTTCACTGTGACACACTAGTTGGTATTCAAGAAAATACATTTTTTATCATTTGTTAGATCGCATGGCCTAAAGTGACGAATTTTCTATAACATACTACTAATACAATTGAAATGAAAGTATGATGTCTACCGGGCATAATTATATTATTTTATTATCATATATTATTATACCGATGCACATATGTTAACTGATACCAACTAAAACTTTAAATTTAAAGATTTTTTTTTAAACATTCGTTCCTTATGATAGTTCAATAGTGAAAATAATAAACAGTATAATCAGTATATTATGTTGTTTAAATTTAATTAAGCTATTTTTATTTTTATTTTTTGTTTACTTATAAACATAAAAATATGGGTATTATACTAAAAATTATTGATTCGTTAACTCATTTTAAATCTCAAGGTGCAGTTGGAAAACGTATAATTATTAAATATTTTTATTTATAGTATAATTTCACTGAATACAATTTTTTCAGTGCAATAATTTGCATTTGTGGGCAACGGGAAATATTAGCATATGTACAATTCTTTAGAAAGAACGGTTTAAAAGTATACATAACGTTTTATATTTAAAATTGTCTGTAATTAGGATCCTGTTTGTTATTTTTTCTTCTTCATATTGACTTGTGCCCATTAACCAACATGTACATAAATCAAAGTTACATTTATTATTGTTGGCTACTGTGCTTAAAGCGGATAATCGAAGTATTTTTGCATTTTATATTATTAAGATTAAAAATTCAAGTATTTGAAAACTGTCACATTATCTGTTTCTAGCAAACTTGGTGATTGCTTATTACATTTTTATTCGGCTATGCGTGTGGAGAATAATGTAAACATTAAAATTATGATATATTTTATTTATAATAGTATAGAATTCGCAGTAGGGACATGGTTCAACTGGTGAATATATTATGTTTAAATTTATTACGTCAATAATAGATTTTAAGAACTACTTGCACACAAGTTTCACTAAATAATCTCTTATACCTCCAGAATTCAATTTGGAAATGATAATAATACGTTATATTAATTTAAACATATACAGCATATATTACATAAATCACAATGTACAATCGAAACCAACAATTTAATAATTATATTAGAATATTAAATAATAAGT